GGGTTATGGGGGCGGATTAGCCAATCGCAGCGATTGGGTATAATATTTTCCTGCATTCTCATTGGTCGGCTGGGGCAGCTGGTGTGTGTGTGGTAGTTCTTGGTCGTGTAGATGGCAGGCATTAAAGCACTTATATGTAAGCTGGGTGCTGGTGGTGGGAGTGTTTGATGTGTAGTGCTTCAGCTATGTCTAATGTTCTTCCCTGGTACCAGTCAGTTACTTTCATGAGGTCAGGATATGTCCGGTGAGGGCCAGGTTGGGTGTAGGAGTGACGCCTTGTTTGTTGGAGCCTTGTTAGTGCACGGCCAGGGTGTGACCGCGGCCAGGGTGTGACCGCGGCCAGGGTGTGACCGCGGCCAGGGTGTGACCGCGGCCAGGGTGTGACCGTACACTACACGACGGTTGAGGCCAGGAGTCTCCAGGAGGGCAGGTGAGGCCTCACACGACTGGTGGCTCTCTGTCACCATGTCTTGCTTCTTGGCGCCTTACTTGGCGGCCCTCACTGTGGTGTGGTGTGTGGTGGCTGTGTGTGGAGAGTGGAGGGTCGTGCTGGAGGGTGGAGGGTCGTGCTGGAGGGAGGGAGGGTGGAGGGGGGGGGTACCGGAACTGGGGATCACCTGGGCACGTGCGGGCAGGTAGACCCGGTAATTAACGAGCATATTACCTCATTATGTCAGGATGTTGGCGTTTACCCTCGTTTAGACGGGTGTTGGGGGGGGGGGTTCCTGGTCGTGGGGGGGGGGGAGGAGGGGATGTGGGGGGTGCTGGTGGCGGTTGGGGAGGGGGGAGGGGGGTCCTGTTCAATAGGTCCTCTTGGAATTATGAATCCTGGGACTTGGGTCCCATCGAGTAGGTCCCAGCTCTTGGGCCCCAGCCGTGTGTGTCTCCTCTTGCTGTAGTCGCTCAAACATTAAGCACTAACATCGGGTCATCTAACATTTCGGTCGTGTTACATCCAGTCCATTCCACCCAGCGGTCGACCCCCACAGACGCATTCATAAATGTTAACATGCTGTTCATTCAAAATGGAAATTTTCTCATATATAAATTTATATTATAGTATATTAGCATATTGTGCATATATTGGCATAGGTTAGGTTAGGTGTTTAGGTCATGTTGGCGATTATTTGTAGTACGTGGGTGAAGCATTTACAGCGTTGTGGTTCGAACACAAGTCGTCAGTGAAGCACTTGTTCCGGAAGTGTTCGGACGTCATCAGTTGTGAGTCCTGTGTAAACCATTTGTCATTGATAAACAGCTGGGGTTTGGCGGGTGGATGGAATGGTCTTTAAGTCTCTGGAGGACGGGCTGGTGGCTGAGGGCTGGTGGCTGGTGGCTGAGGGCTGGTGGCTGAGGGCTAAGGGCTGGGGGGTGACTCTTGTGGGGTGGATGATCACCCGCTACACGGTATCTGTCCTTGCATCCCACCCGCCTTCCTCTCTCCTCTCTCCCTCGACACCCTCACCCCTCCCTCACCTGCCTCACACCCCCTCACCCCTCACTCCTCACCCCCTCCCCCCAGGCCCTCACACACATCAACCAAAATATATAATTGGAAAAAATTAAATGAAATACAAAAATAAACAGTATTATACTTAAGGAAGAACACATGTATCAGTAAGGAGAAGGATTATCGTAAGTTATACATTTACTTTAACTAGTATACACTCTATATCACCCGGCCAGGATTCGAACCCATGCCGTCCAGGATCACCTCTGAACGTTCCCAGAGCACCGGGGCCACCGCATCGATGATGCTGTATACGTTTAGGGCTGATCCTGGACGGCATGGGTTCGAATCCTGGCCGGGTCAAACAGAGTTCTTAGTAATTATATATATATATATATATATATATATATATATATATATATATATATATATATATATATATATATATATATATATATATATATATATATATAACTGAAAACTCACACCCCCAGAAGTGACTCGAACCCATACTGCCAGGAGCAACGCAACTGGTATGTACAGGACGCCTTAATTCAGTTGTATATAGTCCTGGGGACCATTCAGGCTTGTCCGCATATATATATATATATATATATATATATATATATATATATATATATATATATATATATATATATATATATATATATATATATATATATATATATATATATATATATATATATATATATATATATATATATATATATATTATATATATATATATATATATATATATATATATATATATATATATATATATAATGTGTGTGTTTATATGTATATGTATGTGGGGGTAAGATAGCATAAGTCGGTGTGTGATGCACGAGATGACCAGTTTAATGCTCCCTAATTTACTGTGTACCTTTACATGGCTTTTGGGCAAAGTTTCGATTAAATAATTGACCATTGTGTGGCATAATTAATGCATTCAACTCCACGGGAGCACTAATGGGATCTTCCCCAGTGGTCTCGCTCACGCTCCCTGTGTCTCGCTCACAACACCGCCGCCCTACACCCACCAACACTACCCTATTACACCCACTTCCTCCACGGGACACGGTGAATACACTTTAATGGGGTGGGACACAGGACACCTGCTTTGGGGGAGGGGTGGGGGGGGGGTGACAGGGGGGAGGGGAAGTGCCGTATGGGACGAAGTATTGTGGGAAGTGAGTGAAGTGTTGTGGGCGGGGCGGCCAGGTGAGGGCGAGGGTTGCCAGTTACCTCATTCCTCACCCTCATTTTTGGTATTTTTTTTTCTTATTTTTGGGGTGTTGTTCCAGCTTTTGTCCCTGTCCACGGGGGTGTGGGACTGTCCACGGGGGTGTAGGACTGTCCACGGGGGTGTAGGACTGTCCACGGGGGTGTAGGACTGTCCACGGGGGTGTGGGACTGTCCACGGGGGTGTAGGACTGTCCACGGGGGTGTAGGACTGTCCACGGGGGTGTGGGACTGTCCACGGTGGTGTAGGACTGTCCACGGGGGTGTGGGACTGTCCACGGGGGTGTGGGACTGTCCACGGGGGTGTAGGACTGTCCACGGGGGTGTAGGACTGTCCACGGGGGTGTGGGACTGTCCACGGGGGTGTAGGACTGTCCACGGGGGTGTGGGACTGTCCACGGGGGTGTGGGACTGTCCACGGGGGTGTGGGACTGTCCACGGGGGTGTAGGACTGTCCACGGGGGTGTGGGACTGTCCACGGGGGTGTGGGACTGTCCACGGGGGTGTAGGACTGTCCACGGGGGTGTGGGACTGTCCACGGGGGTGTGGAACTGTCCACGGGGGTGTAGGACTGTCCACGGGGGTGTGGGACTGTCCACGGGGGTGTGGGACTGTCCACGGGGGTGTGGGACTGTCCACGGGGGTGTGGGACTGTCCACGGGGGTGTAGGACTGTCCACGGGGGTGTGGGACTGTCCACGGGGGTGTGGGACTGTCCACGGGGGTGTGGGACTGTCCACGGGGGTGTGGGACTGTCCACGGGGGTGTGGGACTGTCCACGGGGGTGTCGGACTGTCCACGGGGGTGTGGGACTGTCCACGGGGGTGTAGGACTGTCCACGGGGGTGTAGGACTGTCCACGGGGGTGTAGGACTGTCCACGGGGGTGTAGGACTGTCCACGGGGGTGTAGGACTGTCCACGGGGGTGTAGGACTGTCCATGGGGTGTAGGACTCTCCACGGGGGTGTAGGACTGTCCACGGGGGGTGTGGGACTGTCCACGGTGGTGTAGGACTGTCCATGGGGTGTAGGACTCTCCACGGGGGTGTAGGACTCTCCACGGGGGTGTAGGACTGTCCACGGGGGTGTAGGACTGTCCACGGGGGTGTAGGACTGTCCACGGGGGTGTAGGACTGTCCACGGGGGTGTGGGACTGTCCACGGGGGTGTAGGACTGTCCACGGGGGTGTACGACTGTCCACGGGGGTGTACGACTGTCCACGGGGTGTACGACTGTCCACGGGGGTGTAGGACTGTCCACGGGGGTGTAGGACTGTCCACAGGGTGTAGGACTGTCCACGGGGGTGTGGGACTGTCCACAGGGGTGTAGGACTGTCCACGGGGGTGTGGGACTGTCCACGGGGTGTAGGACTGTCCACGGGGGTGTAGGACTGTCCACAGGGGTGTAGGACTGTCCACGGGGGTGTGAGACTGTCCACAGGGGTGTAGGACTGTCCACGGGGGTGTGGGACTGTCCACGGGGTGTAGGACTGTCCACGGGGGTGTAGGACTGTCCACAGGGGTGTAGGACTGTCCACGGGGTGTGGGACTGTCCACAGGGGTGTAGGACTGTCCACGGGGGTGTAGGACTGTCCACGGGGTGTAGGACTGTCCACGGGGGTGTAGGACTGTCCACGGGGGTGTAGGACTGTCCACGGGGGTGTAGGACTGTCCACGGGGGTGTAGGACTGTCCACGGGGGTGTAGGACACCCCCCTCCCTCCTCTCCCACGTCAAATAACAATACTGTTCGCTAACAATAAGTTCCATTTAATAATGGCGAAGACTAGTAACTTGCAGCCTCTCAGAGATGGCTCACTCATCCCAACTTTAATAGTCACAGTAATTCAATTATTATTTTTATAATTATTATTTTTATTATTATTAAATTTATTCACTTGTGGACGTGTCTTAGGGGAGACTTAATAGCATGGGTAACACCCACACTTGTGTATTTATGATGTTTATTCAGAAGTGTAATACACCAAGACTTTGGCACTCTTCTGAGTGACTAATGACTTGAGAGTGTAGTAGCCCTTTGGTCAGTGTACTGGACTTGTTAAGGACTGCTATTGCTCCTGTCAGTCTAGGGTTGAACCTTTCACCTGATGAGTCCTTCTTCACGAGAGTATTATATATATATATATATATATATATATATATATATATATATATATATATATATATATATATATATATATATATATATATGTGTGTCATGAAGGGGTGACATGATTAAAATATATACATGGATAAAGGGAGACATTGACCAGATCTTACCCACACCAACACAAAACAGAACGCGAAACCATGGATATCAATTCAATAAGTTTAGATTTAGGAAAGACCTGGGTAAATACTGGCTTGGAAATAGGTTTATCGACTTCAGGAAGAGATTACCTGGTATAATAGACGAGGGAGCGCTATCTGGACACACACATAAATAAGTCTGGTGTATTTTAGCAGTAGTCATTCTTGTGGATGTATAAATATGATAGAAAGCTACAATATTGATGCTAGCACGGATCTTCTCTATATTTCTTACGTACTTAGGAAAGAAGTTGAAAAACTGTTTATTTTAGGCACGGTGCTCCTATTACTTACCATATAAAAAAATTATGATTCCTCCTCTGGACATGTATTTTTTCGTATGTACTCTTACCTTAATACTTATTAAATGTATAAACACCGTTAGGCTGGAGCCGCCGAACATGTGGCCAAGAGGGTGGTGAAGCAAGGTGTGGCTGCACCACTCCAGCCGCCCCTCACTCCACATTCTAGAGAATGTTGCAATAAGAATGTCAACATTCTCACCCCGCCGCTGAGAATGTTGACGGGTCTCAACGGAACGCGTCTCTTAGCGCGTCAGGCCAAACTAGAACAGTAAAATTAACCGCGGAAACAGTTTTTCAACTTCCTTCGCAAGTCCATAAGAAATATTTCACATAAGATCAATGTCAATCAATAGATCAATTATGATCAAACTGATCATAAGATCAGTTTGTGGTGATACACACAGGAGCTGCCTCGTGTGTGCTGGTCCCCTATAGGCGTCCTCGCTCTCATATAGTATTATAGGCTCCTCTAGTGGTATAGTGACGTCGTTATAGGCTCCTCTAGTGGTATAGTGACGTCATTATAGGCTCCTCCGGTGGTATAGTGACCTTATTATAGGCTCCTCCGGTGGTATAGTGACCTTATTATAGGCTCCTCCGGTGGTATAGTGACGTCATTATAGGCTCCTCCGGTGGTATAGTGACCTTATTATAGGCTCCTCCGGTGGTATAGTGACGTCATTATAGGCTCCTCCGGTGGTATAGTGACCTTATTATAGGCTCCTCCGGTGGTATAGTGACGTCATTATAGGCTCCTCTGATGGTATAGTGATGTCATTATACGATCCTCTGAGGGTATAGTGACGTCATTATAGGCTCCTCCGGTGGTATAGTGACGTCATTATAAACTCCGGTGATATAGTGACGTCATTATAGGCTCCTCCGGTAGTATAGTGGCCTCCAGTGTTATAATGGCCTCCAATGTTATAATGGCCTCCAGTGTTATAATGGCCTCCAGTGTTATAATGGCCTCCAGTGTTATAATGGCCTCCAGTGTTATAGTGGCCTCCAGTGTCATAATGGCCTCCAGTAATATAATGGCCTCCAGTGTTATAATGGCCTCCAGTGTTATAATGGCCTCCAGTGTTATAGTGGCCTCCAGTGTCATAATGGCCTCCAGTAATATAATGGCCTCCAGTGTTATAATGGCCTCCAGTGTTACAGTGGCCTCCAGTGTTATAATGGTCACCAGTGTTATAATGGCCTCCAGTGTTATAGTGGCCTCCAGTGTTATAGTGGCCTACAGTGTTATAATGGCCTCCAGTAATATAATGGCCTCCAGTAATATAATGGCCTCCAGTAATATAATGGCCTCCAGTAATATAATGGCCGCCAGTAATATAAGGACCTCGAGTGTTATAATGGCCTCCAGTGTTATAGTGGCCTCCAGTGTTATAGTGGCCTCCAGTGTTATAATAGCCTCCAGTAATATAATGGCCTCCAGTAATATAATGGCCGCCAGTAATATAAGGACCTCCAGTGTTATAATGGCCTCCAGTGTTATAGTGGCCTCCAGTGTTATAGTGGCCTCCAGTGTTACAGTGGCCTCCAGTGTTATAATGGCCTCCAGTGTTATAATGGCCTCCAGTGTTATAATGGCCTCCAGTGTTATAGTAGCCTCCAGTGTTATAATGACCTCCAGTGTTACAGTGGCCTCCAGTGTTATAGTGGCCTCCAGTGTTATAATGGCCTCCAGTGTTATAGTGGCCTCCAGTAATATAATGGCCTCCAGTGTTATAATGGCCTCCAGTGTTATAGTGGCCTCCAGTGTTATAGTGGCCTCCAGTGTTATAGTGGCCTCCAGTGTTATAATAGCCTCCAGTGTTATAATGGCCTCCAGTGTTATAATGGCCTCCAGTGTTATAGTAGCCTCCAGTGTTATAATGACCTCCAGTGTTACAGTGGCCTCCAGTGTTATAGTGGCCTCCAGTGTTATAATGGCCTCCAGTGTTATAATGGCCTCCAGTGTTATAATGGCCTCCAGTGTTATAGTGGCCTCCAGTGTTATAATGGCCTCCAGTGTTTTAATGGCCTCCAGTGTTATAGTGGCCTCCAGTGTTATAATGGCCTCCAGTGTTATAGTGGCCTCCAGTGTTATAGTGGCCTCCAGTGTTATAGTAGCCTCCAGTGTTATAGTGGCCTCCAGTGTTATAATGGCCTCCAGTGTTATAATGGCCTCCAGTGTTATAGTGGCCTCCAGTGTTATAGTGGCCTCCAGTGTTATAATGGCCTCCAGTGTTATAGTGGCCTCCAGTGTTACAATGGCCTCCAGTGTTATAGTGGCCTCCAGTGTTATAATGGCCTCCAGTGTTATAATGGCCTCCAGTGTTACAATGGCCTCCAGTGTTATAATGGCCTCCAGTGTTATAATGGCCTCCAGTGTTATAGTGGCCTCCAGTGTTATAATGGCCTCCAGTGTTATAGTGGCCTCCAGTGTTATAATGGCCTCCAGTGTTAGTGGCCTCCAGTGTTATAATGGCCTCCAGTGTTATAGTGGCCTCCAGTGTTATAATGGCCTCCAGTGTTATAGTGGCCTCCAGTGTTACAGTGGCCTCCAGTGTTATAGTGGCCTCCAGTGTTATAATGGCCTCCAGTGTTATAGTGGCCTCCAGTGTTACAGTGGCCTCCAGTGTTACAGTGGCCTCCAGTGTTATAATGGCCTCCAGTGTTTTAATGGCCTCCAGTGTTATAGTGGCCTCCAGTGTTACAGTGGCCTCCAGTGTTATAATGGCCTCCAGTGTTTTAATGGCCTCCAGTGTTATAATGGCCTCCAGTGTTATAGTGGCCTCCAGTGTTATAATGGCCTCCAGTGTTATAGTGGCCTCCAGTGTTATAATGGCCTCCAGTGTTATAGTGGCCTCCAGTGTTACAGTGGCCTCCAGTTTTATAGTGGCCTCTAGTGTTATAGTGGCTTCCAGTGTTATAATGGCCTCCAGTGTTATAGTGGCCTCCAGTGTTATAATGGCCTCCAGTGTTATAATGGCCTCCAGTGTTATAGTGGCCTCCAGTGTTACAGTGGCCTCCAGTGTTATAATGGCCTCCAGTGTTTTAATGGCCTCCAGTGTTGTAATGGCCTCCAGTGTCATACTGCTTGATGGGGTTCTGGGAGTTCTTCTACTTCCCAAGCCAGGCCTGACTTGTGAGACTTTGGTCCACCAGGCTGTTGCTTGGAGCAGCCCGCAGGCCCACATATCCACCACAGCCCGGTTGGTCCAGCCCTTCTTGAAGAAAACTATCTAGTTTTCTCTTGAAGATGTCCACGGTTGTTCCAGCAATATTTCTTATACTCGCTGGGAGGACGTTGAACAGTCGCGGACCTCTGATGTTTATACAGTGTTCTCTGATTGTGCCTATGGCACCCTTGTTCTTCACTGGGTTTTCTGCGTTTTCTTCCATATCGTCCACTCCAGTATGTTGTTATTTTACTGTGTAGATTTGGGACCTGGCCCTCCAGTATTTACCTCGTGTATTATTTGATCTCTATTTCGTCTCCTTTCTAGCGAGTACATTTGGAGAGCTTTGAGACGATCCCAATAATTTAGGTGCTTTATCGCGTCTATGTCTGCCGTATATGTTCTTTGTACTCCTATTTCAGCAATCTCTCCTGCTCTGAAGGGGTGAGTGAGTACTGAGCAGTACTCAAGACGGGACAACACAAGTGTTTTCAAGAGTACAACCATTGTGATGGGATCTCTGGATTTGAAAGTTCTCGTAATCCACCCTATCATTTTTCTAGCTCTCGCAATATTTGCTTTGTTATGCTCCCTAAACGTTAGGTCTTCAGACATCAACCGCTT